TTTCATTAGTAAAGTCAGTCAATAATCAAGGACAGCAGTAGCATTAGCACACGTACCTTTTTAAATAGCTCGCCATTCATGGTCTGAGAGGTCCTGAATCAAAGTAAGGACTCTTGGATTCACATGGAGCCATTTTGTTTTTGTTTGTTCCACTTTCGTCCCCTTCTCCGGATTAATAGAGAAGAAACATCTAGGTTAACAGAAGAGAGAAGAAATACATATACCACTATAAATGATACAACCATCTCAACCAGTCAAATCAGTACAAAGGAAAAGACAAAAAAGGTGAGAATATGGGTTACAGTTTTCCATTAATTAAAGTTTAACTGGTAGGCGGGGAGCTAAGCGGCCAACCATGAACCCTCCACATAATCCAACTTTTTTTATTATTTATTTATTTTTTTTAAAGGTCTCATCATGCTTAACATGAATCAGAATGTTTACATTGAAATTTTTGCACTACATGTTTCAGGCAGTCAGTGTATTTCCAAACATTGCAAATTGCATTGCACCTTCCCCTAGCTCATGGAGAGTCATGTTCCTGTAATGCGTTTCCATTGCATTTTCAATGTATGGACATACATTGACTACCTGAAACATGTAGTGCAACCCAAAATGTTCAGTGTTAACATTCTGATTCATGTTTAGCATGGTCAGACTTTTAAAAGAAAGTTGGTTCCTTTGAAGTATGGGAGCGTGCACCTTAAGGCCTATAGACATTAGACACTACACTCTGCCTATTGACATATGGACATCTTTTATTTTTCCTCTTGATGCCAGACACCTTTGGTATAAAGTATAGATTCCTAAGTTAAAGGACAACTTCGGTCAATTTCAACAAGAGCTCTATTGCTCATGCTACTTGAGACTTGCCAGGACTGAAGACGTGAGAAAGTTTGGTCTAAATCCTATAGGTTTCCTTGAACAGAGAATTAGCACTGACAGCTAACCCATGGGGACATAACTTTAAATTGTGAATTTAACGCTCCAAATATCAACGCCAAAACTACGCAACACCAGCCGACACAATAAAACAACACTGTAATGTGTATGACTAGAAAGTGGTTAAAACAGTGTGTTTGTGCAAGCAGCCATATACAAAATTTAAACAAATGATATGATAAAACACAGTGTAAAGTTCTTCCCCCATGGGTTAGCTATCAGAGCTAATTCTCTGTTCAAATAAACCTATACAAGTTGAACCAAAATTTTTCGCGTCNAAAGTGGTTAAAACAGTGTGTTTGTGCAAGCAGCCATATACAAAATTTAAACAAATGATATGATAAAACACAGTGTAAAGTTCTGCCCCCATGGGTTAGCTATCAGAGCTAATTCTCTGTTCAAATAAACCTATACAAGTTGAACCAAAATTTTTCGCGTCTTCAGTGCTGGCAAGTCTCGAGTAGCTTGAGCAATAGAGCTCTTGTTGAAATAGACCGAAGTTGTCCTTTGAGCAGAACATGTCATTTTGCCCATGAAATGAAATTGTTTTTGCTAAAAAGTACTTAGACAATTAGTTTAACAAGGTGTCAACATTATTTGATACATGTTATTTGATACATCGTATTTCAGTTAGCAATGCTACAGAGCTGTTATCTTGACTAAGATGGTGGTGGCGATGAGGTAAAGGAACTTGGTTATCATGCCAGTAGCCACCAAAGTCAGGGGTTGAGGCTAGCCCCTAGCAAGGCAATTAACCCCATGTTGCTCTAGGGGAGAATGGCCCTGTAGGTATTTGTATGCACATTGCTTTGGATAAAAGCCTCAGTCAAATGACTAATAAATAGAACAAAACAATTGTAAAAAATAAGATAAAAAACATACCTCTGTAGAAATTCCAGGGTCGATGCAAGCGTGGATGGGTAATGAATGTTAAAGCAGTAATAGCTGCCAAACATCATGCACAAGGCCAAGATGAAGGAAGAGATGTTCTCGTTCACGATGACTTGATCCACACTCAGCATCATCCGTCTGGAGGAATAGCAGGACTGCCCTATTTAAAAAAAAAAAAAAAAAACAGCAGCAATTTAGGTAACATTTCAACATGTCAGTAACTCGTAGTTCAAGTGTAAAAACAAGTGTGTGTACGATATGTATGCGAATGAAAAAAAAACACATCTGAGAAAATCTGAAACAAATAAGAGATAGAGGTCAGTGTGTGAATGAGAGAGCACGTGTTCAGTCTTTGGAAGGCAGGTGTGTGTGTGTGTGTGTGAGAGAGAGAGAGTGTTCATGTGAATGTGTGAGTGAGTGTGTGAGAGAATGAGTGGTGGCATTTGAAATTAACAGCTGAGACAAAAACAATTACAGATGCTGCATGAACATAACTTAAATTAGAAATTAAGACATTTGGGATATATTTCTGAGGTTAACTTACCACATACAACAATCGTGGGAGTCAAGGGAACTCTGCTCATGTCCACTTCCCCAGCCAGGCAATTGTCCTCCACATAATGGAACATCACAACCCTACAATGCAACACATAACCCTTTAACGTGTGCAATGTTCTCCCGCAAAAATGACAATGAATCATGTCGTGGGGAGCTTGAAACAGGCTAAATAGCTATTAGCTGCTAGCAGCCAGTAGCAACGTGAAGTTCGCCTATCAGCCAGTGAAATCAAAAAAAAAAAAACGCGCCGTTTTGTTTCATAAAATTGTCTTTTGACTTAACCTGATGCTC